TCATACGTTAAAAGGTTGTAATTTCGTATTAAATACCATTTGACTGATTACTTGCAATGCTACTTCGTAAATAAATTGCTAGTAGATGATACAAGAAAAGTTTGTCGCAGGCAAAGGATTAATATTTGAGATCGTTAACACTATATTTCCCTTGAGAAGAACTCTCAACAACTTCTTCTTTCTCATTCAGACGAGAAACGTCTTCAGGGAGTAATTTTTCCTGGGATCAGTCACGAAGGTTAACAAACACAGGCTAATGAAACACCGAGATTAGAACATACATACTTCCATGGCGAGCGTCGCGCTATCTGCGGACGAATTCCGCATTCAGCTCAGAAATGGCGGACGTTTTAGTATTCACAGCGCGTTGCCGCGGAACAGAGAGACGACTGCGACGACGTAGTTGGAACGGGAGCACGGCTGCGAAAACGGAGCGAGCAAAGACTTCGACAAACACGACATTTGCGAAGCAAATACTAGCTCGCCGCGCGAACTTCCCTCTTGCTCGCTAATGCGGAACGATCGACGCGCGAAATTTGAACCTCCTCTGCCGCTCGTCGGCGAACCGTGCGATTTCTTCTTCGCGAGTGAACACCGCAAACGCGGCAAACTCGTGATTTCTTAAATCGTCGTCGCGCCCGAAGGTGCGCAAGAGATAAAATTGTCCTTGGTACGTACTTTATTTCGCGCGTTATCGAGGACTTTTTTGTGAAAAGCAAAGTGTCTCCTTTGCAATCGAATTTCTTTGATAACAGCGAAAATTTGTGGCTGAGAGATAGGCACTGGCAAGACACGTGCAAAAATCGCTCTAGAGGTTCAACATTGGGGCGTCTGTGCTGGCTGGAACGTTTCTAACGATATCGAATGCTCCATTCGATATTTCAAAGTCCGACGAAGAAATATTACGACAGGCTGATTATAATTTATCGCGGGGACGCTGGCTGCGGAACCCTTGCGGAGAAAAATTTATATCCGAGGCCAGCTTATCAACTACGTGACACGTCGCATCGAGATTTCGTTAGAGGTGAGGAAACCGGCGCGGCGCGGCGCGGCGCGACGCGTCTCGGCTCGGCTTGGCGTGCGGTCGTTGCTCACGAAACGATTTGACGGCTGTCTCATGCATAATAAGGGCCTCCCCCATTCCCAGCCTAGCCTCGCCAAGGTTTATTTCGCGTCGAATCGTCGATCTGCAAAGTAATATGATATTTTCTGTCTATTGAGCGACAGAGAGCGACTACATCTCGTCCGGTGGTTTCCCGAGGGGCGACCGGGAAAATGAAGGCTTCGACGAGAACGGCAAGAATAAAGGGGAAATATAACGTCGCGGACGTGATCTAACGCAGCCAAGATAGAAAATACGCTCTTTCAACGTCGATTATCGGGACGGCCGTCGATTCTTTTCGTCTTGATTAAATCGTCTCCTTCGGTCGGTCTGCGACTGAAGACGAGGAAAAGATCAAGAAACTTCACTTTTATATTCGTACATCCCTCCGTAATGGATCGAGACTCGGTGAAGCGAATCTAGGATAAAACCACGTTCTCTCTCTCTCTCTCTCTCTCTCTCTCTCTCTCTCTCTCTCTCTTGATAGAATTCCGAACCGACGCGAGCGTTATCGGATCGATCATACATTTGCAAAAGTGAGGGATAAAACGTCCTCCTTTGCTACCCAATAACTCGCATTCCCCATTCTTCGAGCGTCAACAATCGTAAATCATTCAGAAAGTACAATACAGAGGCTTCAGAAGGTTCGGGTGGGACACGAATGCTTTGAAAGCATTTGACAGCAGGTCGAATCCGTGATTCGTCCCTGGCCGGGACGTCTCGACCTTGCAGTTGTCACCGACCTCGTTAAGAGCCCTGTCGAAGGGCATCGTTATTGCGTGGCAATGGCAATACATTGGGGAGGAGAAATAGAAATAGGAAAGTGGCGTGATGGCTCGCGAACGTGCCAGAGAAACGCCGAGACATTCGAGAAAGGCCGTTTGACGAGAGAATGCCCTTCCTTTCCAACGAGGACGAGCACGAGCACGAGCACGAGCATGAGAAGAAGGGCCAAGTGAGAGCCGATGACGTCTGCCTGCTGCTGCCTACTTTCCATTCTTCCCTTGTTGTTCCATTCCACGGAAGATCAGTGGCGGGCTTATTGCCTCATGAATATGTATAGAAGAGATCGCTCGCTCTCTGGTCCGTTGCGAAGCGGAGACGCTCGGCCATTGAACGTGTCGGGGTTTGAAGGAGGCTGAGGCCCAAGGGTTGGAACGGATGCGAATGACCGCGAACGACATACTGAGAAATTAACGAGAGTCGCCGGCCGCCGAAAATTACACGCGGGAATAAACAAGGTGCTTGCGGAACAGCTGCAGCCGTGAGAATGGTCATTCTCAAGAGATGCAAATCGGCCAAATTTTCCGACGACAATCGCCGCACAGGATGTTGGAGACGTCTCTCTTTCTCTCTCTCTCTCTCTCTCTCTCTCTCTCTCTCTTTCGTTCATTCATGCCCTGCCAATTTCCCGATCTTGCGAGTGGCCGTCAAATTTCGTTCGTTCGATATTCTAGAGATTAAATATAAGATAATATTTATTTAATACTGCTGGTGATTAAACAGCAGGTAATAAAACAAGGTAACGAATACAAATTAATGATATATACATCACTCAAATAAACTCTTTTTCACAACTCTTTTTCATAAAGAAAAACGCCTCGTATCGCGCTTTTTCCATCACGTTCATATATTTCCACTTTCCACGCATTTCTTCACTACAGGCCATCTGTTGCAATTAAACCAGAACTACAGCTAAAATAATAACTTAAATCTACGATGCTGCGATATCGAAAGCAAATTCTTTGCGAATTTGCATTTTACGATCCGCATTGCAAGACCAATTATAAATTGGACGATTGGCGTGATAAAAATTCTGCAACAGTTAGATTCTGTAACAGATATTTTTGCGCCAAAATGTCAGTGGATTTAACGAGGAGAATTCGGCGACAGTGTGCGTCGCGATGTCTTTCTGCTCCCCCGATTCTACGCCGCGTCGCTTGTTCCTCTTTCCTGAACATACAGCAGCCACCTCTCGATATCTGATAAAATGTAACTAATTCATGACGCCCTCGAAGATCGCATCGAGTCTGCTGCCTGCGGCAATCATTATACGTCTGGAAGAAATTTCATGGAATACTTCGTCGATAAAGCATCAGCCTCGAGATATCTCCATTGGAGGAAGCTTAACAGAGTCTATGAAATCCTCCAGATGTCGAGAAGATATACACCAGCATCAACTTTTATTATAATAAGAAATTCGATGTTTCAATTCAATTATCAATGTTTAATATATTGTGCAATCAGTCATCAATTTTTGATATATATTCAGTATATAGCATGGTGTAACGATCACCATGTTAGGAAACCTAGATCCTATCTTTTACAATCAGACGAATCACGAGAAAATAATATTTGTAGCAACAATCGTGTTTTCGCTAAACTTGTCGCCCCACGAACAGAAAGATGTCGATAACGTCTGTTATTGTCTACCAGCTAAGAAAGCAAAGTTGAACGCCACCGGGAAGACTGACCTCATCCCCCCGATAGTTTCTTTAAACTTACCATCAAGTTTTCAAATAATTTGGTCCGTAATGCTACTAGAAAATGTCTCAAGGACGGCAGTGCAAGCATCTCCGTGAAACTGTCACGAGAAATCCCCCGTTCTTGTTCGAAAGAATCTACCAAGTCTCTCCATCGATATCGATTGGCATTCTCTTTCATAGGGAAAGTCATTTCCTTTTAATCTTCGCCGTGTGTCTGCTGTCTATCCATTGACCGCCGCACCGATCGGGAACGATAATGAAAAATGAAAGGGAGAAATGAAAATGGACGTGCGTACAAAATCCAATTTCGCGAGCGTTGCTTGTTTCGAAAGATCGGAGATCCTGATATTTCAAAAGTCTCTCGGACAAAGTTCGAAAAAGTTGCAGAAATATTTCGTGATTATTAACGATCGTGTGGTAGAAACAAGTCGGTAGAACTTTGTTTCTGTTCCCTTACTGGGCAAAAATGAGTCAAAAATGTGGAACAGAATTTTTTCATTTGAAGCTTCATTCTCGAGAGAACAAATTTTGAATATGTTTCGTCAAAAATTACGCTGTTGCTTCATAAATTTTCAAACTTGATTTTTTTTAGAAACGAGCATTTTGCAAAAAAATTTTATTGCATATTTTCGATTGATTTCCACTGGTAGAGTGGAAATCAATCGAACTTTCTGTTAATTATTATTTTCTATCTGGGTCTAGAATTAATATAAATTAATATAAAGTATATTTGATAAATTTTCGTACTCGATTTTCTCAAAAAAAATCAGATCTCGGGTGAAAAAATTTCATTCTTTATTCTCAACTTATCTTTTCATATCAGAATTACTCCATACCTGGGACACTTTGTATATCACAAATTAAAAATTTTCTCACATTAAAACGAGCTTTGTCGCGAGACAAGTGTACGTACGTGCGATCTATTTCCTGCTACTTTGATCTCTGGAATTTCAGCCTCGGAAATTATAACCGCGTTTCACGGCGCGGTAGGTAACTAAAATTTGGTCAGAGCACCGAACCAAATTTTGAGTGGAATAACACGAGCAATTTCTTAGCCGGAGCGTCTGTTATTTTCGAGCGGCGGAACGTTGGCCCGGGCAACGAGTGAACAAATTTCGCAAATTTCGTCCGTCCCCCCGGTGAAATTTGCCCGTTGCGAGGCGTGTAATTTATTCCCTCTCGAAAAGGATATTTCCGTCTCGTTTAGCGTATGAATCGATACCATTAGGACGGCTGGGGGATGGGGAAGAAGGAGGAGGGAAAAAATTTCGCAGAAACCGAAAGAAATACAGGAAAGCAAGCGACGTCACGCGCAGCTCATTACCGTCCGTGTCTGAGCGATAAAGGGCGGAAAATTGTATTATTACGGAAGAATACGTGTGATAATAGTTCCCGCCGAGAAATTTCCGGGACAGACGTCTGCTGTTTTAGAGTAGCTAACGGAAGCCAACCGGGGGAGAAAAAGGGGGAGTTTCCTTCGCTTTGCTCGTTAATCGTATCTTCCGCAGGCATGCACGAGGATGACGTGCATCCTGCAAACGGCCGAACAAAAGGGCTGCTCCAAATATAGCTTTCTATTTTTCTTCGCGCGCGTCTAATGCCTCCTAAACGAGTAGTACTCTTTCCTTTGTTCACAATTTCAGGCAAATATTATAGGGAAGCCCCATTAGTAATGAACGACGGGTCATTCGCGACCTGTTGAAAGTTTAATCGCTCTATCGATCGTGCAGGGACGCGAGCGACGAGCAGCAAAGACACGTTTCAACAACGAAAACAACTGCTCGCAATGATCGTTGCAACGCTCGCCGGGATTGCGCAAAATTTGTTCGCGCCGCGTTTAAATTATTCCTCGTCTGGCAATTAATCCGCCCGGATGAAAGCACTTTTCTCTACGCCTCCGCTGAAAAATGTTCGCGGAGCGGATTACTCGCTGGCGGACGCGAGGATTGCGCGCGTGTACATACGTACGTACGTGCATGCGTACATACCCGAGGGTAATTCGCGCGTATCGGACACGCTGGCGCAGTAAAGAAAAATACATCAGACGGTGGCGTGCGGTAGTAACAAAACGATGCGGGTAATCACGACAACAGTTGAGAAATGATCGAGTAGCGGAAGCATCTGGCTGGTGGGTAGAAGCGTGGAACGCCAGACGGGAACTAGCTCGGGTCAGGCGTTCTTGTTGACTCCCTCGTCGTTTACAGCGCGAGCTAGAATAATACTGTCGGTTGGTTGGTCCGTGGTATTTGAATTTCTTAGGTACACAAACGGCGGACGCTCAGATTTTAAGGGGAAACAAGCCCCGACGTATTATTCCGGCGGAAAACAGGATTTCAATATTAAACGCATTCAAACAAACGTACACGCGCGATAAACAGGATCCGCGCTTCGTCGAAGTTTATCCACACCCGGCTCTCTTCCTTCTCCTCTGCCTCGCGACTTCACCTCGAGATAAAATGAATTTCTAACGAGTGCCAAAAAGATTCCCGTTGAATATTTTATAAGCTATAGCTTCCCGCGGGTGAAGATTGCGGTTGTAATTGAGAAGTAACATCTCGTTCGTAAATATTTATTTCGCCAATGATGTAACAGCTTCAATTTTCGTCAGGATCTTTTTCAATAATATATCGCCGCTTCTTTTTTTTTTTTTTTTTTTTTTTTTTGTCTTTCGAGCAAAAAAGATATTCGTACGCGATATATATATATTTTCTTCGTTTCAACTCTCTTTCAACGAAGAAAAGTTTCACGAAGGGAGGAAAGTTCTCTTCCTCGGAGAAGAGATTCCGTTCGAAGGATATTTCTTAAATTCGCGACGATTAACGATCAGAGTCGTGGAAGAATACGCGGTACGCTGCCTGAAAATCCCGAGATCGACGAAATTCTACCTCGCGTGAAAAATACAATGAGTATAATGGCGGCAAGCAGAAGGGAGAGAGAGGAGTGGTATAATCACGGCGGCAGCGTTGAGAAATGACCGCGCTACGGGAGCATCTGGTGCTCGGCATCAGGAAACGGCTAGAGCTTCCGCTGGTTTTCTTGTTGATTTCCTCGCGGTGCCGCGCGAACGAGAATAATGTTCCAGGGGGTCCCAGGACTGGTCCAGCTGCCGACTAGATCGATACACGGCGTTGTTATTGCGTCTAGGAAGCTGATGTCGCTTCGACCGTGGAGAACCAAGCACGCTGATTTCCAGAATCGTGGACGCATTCTCCTGGAACAGCGGCCGTAACGGGTCTAAAAAAAACAATGACGCGATCACGATACTCGATATCCGTTGTCTCTCCCGTATTTTTTGTTTCAAACTCGCAACCAACGTGCGTCCAATCGTGACAAAGATTCTTCCCGATGTTTCCTATTGCCCACTGGGTTTTCGTTATTCTTCTCGCTGTTCGCGAGACTGTTCTTAAAAGAAACACACCGAAGTGTGAATCACTGATTTTGAAGAAATTTGGCATGAATGTAGTTTTCAAATAATATTCGACCCGTATGTTTTTTTTTATTGACAATCGTCGATGTTGAAGGGATGAAAACTAACCTCAAAATTCGGGGTGCTGAATATTGAAAATACTGTTTCTGCGTAATTGATGAAACTAATGTTTCTTAACGACGAATTTAATGGTATACTATTTTGCAAAAAGATATTTTTTTTTGTTTAAACAATATATAAAAAAATCCATATTTTTCAGAAGTTTTTCCAAATAAATGTTAATCAATTTTCTATATATTCAAATACAAATTATGGATAAAATGGAATCTTGATTTTATAAAAATTTCAAATCTTTCTCGCTGAACGTATCGAGCAGCTGTTTACAGAGTTATTTTCTATTCGTAAATACGTTGCGAAATGTTAAATGTAAATATATTTCATATCTGAAAAAAGCTGATTTTGTTAGTTGGACACACCTCACGGCGCGCTATTAAAAGCACCAACGTCAACTCGGCTTATGACTCTCCTCTTCCCGCATTTGCCTTCGTTACGACGCTTTCAATTTGCTCGTTTGCTACGTAGCTAGGGAAATTGGGAATTTCAGAAAGAATTTCGTGCAAGTGGACTCGGTCGATCCCAAGTCGACGATCGACTCGAATTTTCCATGCAGAGGATTCCTGCGTCCTGCGTCTCAAGCGAATGATTAAGACACGAAAAAAAGACAAAAANAAAAAAAAAAAAAAAAAAAAAAAAAAAAAAGAAAACACTCGAGGAACTCCGAACTTGGCGAAGTTCGAACGTTACGCTTCGTTGCTTTGAACTACGCTATGCAAACTTCGTCTAGCGAGGAACCGGTGTGCTTCAAGGCCATGGCTAAGGCCCTCTCGTCGCAGAAAGTTCGAGAGCAGCATTCCTGATCAGGTAGTTAGGTTCCTCTTCTGCGAGGCGAGGAGAAAACCGATCGGAAGGTTCGTGCGAGCAGATTTCTTTGAGGAACGTGGAACATATCCGGAAGTCGTCTGTTGCAATATCCGGGATTTCAAGGCGGCGTCTGATATTCCAGACAGCGTCCCGTATAGAGAGACATCGCACGCAGAAACCGATGTGACTGGGGTCGCGAGCGAGATTCGCGGCAGGTCACGTCATACTTCACTTAAAACAAGCTAAAAGCTGTGGTAAAACCGGCGGGATCAGACTGCCGGATAAACGGAATCTCTGTAATCCGAACTAGCTTTGTTTCGAGAGTCGTTTGCGAGTAGTTATACGAGCAGCGGTGGCGATCTTACAAATCAATCGCGCGTATACTTGCCCGAATAAATTGAAAGTACACTCGATTGCAACGCCATGACAGAAAACTGATTTCCAAAGTTTGAGACTTGTTGATGGTTGACGTTTTGTTTCTGCGTTATCGATAGATAGAGGAGAATTATATTAGACAGATATGACAAATCTGCTTTCGCTGACCTTTATATCGCTTGCTTATCAAATAGAAGTATTTCGACGTGGTCAGTTTATACCAGACGTGTCCAACTCTACAACCAAAATTGGAATAATCGAATAAGAATTTTATTATTTGAATAATTTTAACTATGAATGTTCACGGTGTCCCTTTTGGAGAGTATTTACACTTGAGAGCGGATTTTTTCCCGTATGAAGCAAACGAAAAGTAAAATAAGAAGAAAAATTTTAAACGAGCATCTTGAAAATAGTCTTCGTATTGCAACTATCTGTATCAAACCAGATATTGACAAACTGGTATCTAAAAAACAGGCTCGGTGTTCTCATTAAGAATTATATCATATTTTTTTAACTGATATAAATATATTTTTCTAATCAATGTATTTCACTATAAATTGTTTCAATATCTTCATAAATAATATAGGTTGCATGGTACTAATAAAAGAATATGTAAACTGCGTACGACCCTCAACAAATTTTTGTTGGTCTGGTCTACACAATTAACGTTATTTGCATTTTTCAGATATTTACGAAATGTAGAAATATATATTTAATTCCAAAGTCAAACGAAAGATAACGAAAAAATAATCTTGATACGAAATTGAGCGATATCTCATCTATAAAGAACGAGAATTATTTTTGTATTTTCATGTTTCGTAAAATCGGGTACACTATAATCGTACCGCTCTGTGATAGATCACTCTATCTTAGACTCGCGTGCATTAAGTGAAAACATATGATTCAGGTATTTACATTTATTCTGTCTTCTACTTGTCTGTACATTTGAATCATGCGCGTTTATCTTGCACATAGGCACTCTGTAATCATACAGATGAGTGTTTTGTTTATTGATCGTTTCGATACCGCTTATTCCTCGAAGAGATAAATCGAAAACTGCTTGAGCTGGGAATTAAATTAAATACGAACGAATCGGACTTAAACGAATGAAACTGAATCATAATAGAAGCGCACGAATCATCATATAAGCGTAGCGTAACTTTCCAACATGCGCGTACACATATGAAATTCCCCACCATGTTCTCGCTTGCAATTCAAAGCGCAATAGATGATTATGTAACATTGGTGTGACGCGTACATCTAACTTATATAATTGACATATGGTGCATATCGTGAAGTTAGTACAACGTGTTCCACTGGCGAGTAAAGTACTTCGAAATATTTAGGGCCATTCGAGCGCACCTGCGATCACGATCATTCGGTAAGTGACGAGTCTTATCGAATCTTATTATCGATTCCGTTCTAGAGTATCAAAACAAGTCCTCCGTGCAGAGTCGAATATCCCGGAATTTTTCGAGACGACGTTCCGAAACTCTTTGAATTTCGTGAAACTTCGAAACTCTTGGAGCAACTCGGAATTTCAGAAATTTTTTCGGAACCTCGAATCATTTCACTCATGAAATTTCAAATTTCAACAGCTTCGTAGCTCTCGGAATACGCCGGAATTTTTCGGAATGACCAAGTTTTATTCAATTCCAATGTTTGCCGTGGAAATTTTTGGGAATTCGATTGCCTAAGGATAGGAAAAGCGGAAGCAATAATTCACCGTGTGTTTCTCTCTCGATACGTAGCGGAATTGGAGCAACGTGAGGAGAAAGAATCATGGAACGATGGGCCGGGAAGTCGGCGATCGTTACCGGCGCGGCGTCCGGCATCGGCCGAGCAATCGCGCTGGCTCTTCTAGAGAAAAGGGTTAACGTGCTCGCGCTGGATGTACAATCTGACAAATTGTCGACTCTCACCAACAAGTGGGAGCAGCTAAAAGAGCGGGGCAATTTATGCGTAAGACGTTGCAACGTGAGCAACGAGCAAGACCTGGACAACGCGTTCTCCTTCGTGGAGAATACAGACGAGTGGAACCGCGGCGTAGATATCATGGTAAACAACGCCGGAGTTATCGAGTATACGCGCGTCATTGGTAAGACACTGGATGCACGCTGACCGTAATAAGAGAAAAGAAGCTACCGTACATTTGAATATTTATTAGAGCCGCATGCGTGGATTTATTTGTGACTCGTTGCCATTGAAATTGCCGTGAAATCGATTCACGTCGAGTCGTTGACGATATCAGATACTTTTTATCTGATTCATGATACGAAAAATTGATCTTCGCTTGTCTTTTCTCCTTTATTTTTTTTTAAGCATTATTGATAAAAGTGTCTTAATGCCAAGACAAGATCGTTTCGATCTAATTAGAGAATTGATACGCGGATCGCGATAAATTTGCAATTCTCTTCGGTTCGTTTCATTGCACGACGCTCGAGAACGGACTTGAACTTTGAGCCTTATAATGTCTGTTTCTTTTTTTTTTTTTGCATTCAATATCCACGTATTTATTCTAGTCACTTTTTTCTAGTCCTACAGCGAAATTAAAACCAGAAAATCAACAGAAACGTATACTTACCATATTTGTCTCCGCCGCGATTTTCCCGTGAGATTGACGATGAAAAACACAACGGTTACTTATACGGACGAAAAAGAAAGAAAGAAAAAAAAAGAAAAAAAAAGAAAGGAAAGGGCCGTTACCTTTATACGCTGTGTGTAGTCGGTTCATAAGGGACGAGGTGGGCCGAGGGTATTACGCCGGCGAACCTCGTTCGCCTGCTCGTTGGCGCATTTTAAAAAATTCCATAAATTACACTTGCAGAGAGCGACAGGATGGCATTCGAAAGGCTGTTAAATATTAATGTCCTGGCGACCGCCGTGTGCATCAACCGGGCGGTGCGCTCGATGCGCCAGCGAAACGTCGAAGGGCATATTTTCAATATCAACAGGTATTGTTGCTCGCGAGCCTCGTCTTCTCCGATCGTTCATCCGTCCACACGCGAGACCCTCTCGAAACCCGTACGCCGCTGTATTTCGTCAGTCTATTGCCGTCACCGCTTCTCGTCGTTATCCGCCGTCGCTGTCATCCTGATTTCTAATTTACTCGTTAGTTATTTTGCACCCACTCTTTGCTGCAGCATCCTCGAAACTGAAAGGGTTTTTGATATGCAAATAGGCACGCACGAAGGCAGTTTTCGTTGATATTGAAAGGAAGTATAAGCGCGTGAATACTCGAGTACTTTTAATCAAACGACGACGCGACGAACATCAATGTGTATTTAATATTCCGACGCTTGCATGCACACACGGAGAGTCGATTACCTCGATTGGGGAAAGTAGATTTGCGTGTCCAATTTACTAGGAATCGAAAACTTGGCTGGTGAAAAAACACGCTCGCTATAATCTCTCGCTTTTTTAATCTCGCTTTATCAATATTATAACGAGGGACCTTTGAGAAACAGTTTTCGTGCACGGGCAAACGTATTGTTTGAGAAAGCAGAACGGGGAATTTTCCTCTTGGTTCTGTTTCCCGGCCAGCTGGAGGGAAAAAGGTGGGGAAAAAAAAAAAAGGAAAATGGGGGAGGAAAAGAGGAAAACGAGAAAAGAGAGGACCGACGCTTTTAAGACCGAAACAACCGTTCCGGCTGTTTGCGCTCGAAGTCGATTCGAATAAAACGCCGTGCAAATGGGCGGCCACGAGCGGCCTGTTGAAGCAATTTTTTATTTTGCACGGGGGGCCAGCGTGCTGGGACACGAAATTCCGAGTGGATTCCTTTCGGAAATCGATGGCTGTAATGGCTGGAACCTGTACCCGACTTGCAAACACGGCGCTGTTGCATTAACGCACACGGTGAGACGGGAATTGGCGGCCATTAAAGCACCGATTCGAATCACCGTAAGTTCACGTGGCTCTTTCCGCACTTATGAAAAATCCTTTCACGAGGATTCATGTGATTTCGAGCGTTTGTCTCCCGTTGTTTATCGCTGTTGCTCGCGTGTCTGTTCGCAGAGCATCAGTCCAGGCATCGTCGACACGGACATAGCCAGGCACTCGCCTCAAGTGGCGAACGCATTGGAAAATGTGCCGGCCCTTCGACCGGAGGACGTCGCCGACGCAGTGATCTACGCGTTAGGCACACGACCGGAAGTGCAAGTAAGTCCAGTCTGCGTTCGAGCTACCAGGCTCCGAGCGAACCGAGTTGATTGCTCGAGAAGTGATCAAATTCCAATCACAGATGTACAGGGCGGAAGGAAAAGTTTGTCAGTCGGCTGTCGTCACCTTCGATTTGATGAAGATACTATGTAAAGTACCTGCCGCAATATTGATCTTGATCTTGAATTTCAAGATCAAGGTTAATTTTGCTCCATCAAATCGAAGGATAATTCGTGTAGAATTCATCTATGATAGCTATGAACAAACTTTTCTTCCCAACCTGTACGTACGATTAGCTAATCTGTCGGACTATCCAGGTCGTTAAGATAGGGATCGTTGGTGGGACATCATTTGCATTGGGGCAAAGTGGCGTCGAGCAGTCAGTTCAGTTTAGACAAAGAGTGGCACACGATGATAGTAGCGTCGTTGATGAAATTCTAGATTACCGAGCTCACTATTCAACGCACGGGTGAAGCCTAATATTCTCGATGCGTTCGATGCATTCAGAGCGTACATCACGCGCGTATACGTTAGACACCCTTGCGAGACATTAAACACACGAAAATTCTAGCATACGTGAAAACTCAGAAAAACTTGTGTAACAAAGGGGTGAGAGGTGGTGGTGATTCGCACAATTAATTACGAAACATCAGGAATAATCCATGTACATCTATCAGCAATAAAGTTTACCAAATTTCAAACTGCGACATCTCTGTTTTTCTTTTTTTGCTCTCTGCTGCGAACGTGAATGCGGCCGACACTCGCGACGGCAGGAACTATCCGCGTGAAACGATCCACCCGCCGACCGCTTCATTTCCAGCCAGATTACGCGCTATTGATTACAAACTGTGAATTAGTGGTACGCAGTCGCGGCGTAATTATAGGGCCGATGGCTCCTTAGGATTCAATGATTGATGCTATTATTGGGCTGCGTGACCGGACTCGGTATTAATCCGAGGTGCGGCGAGCAACAGTTACTAACTACAAGTCTTCCCCTTGCCCGCGATCTGGCTATCTCTAATTAGCCGTAATCACCGGGGCGGATAGCGGGAACAGGAACGCGCGGCGTTTCTGTCGCGCCCCGTTTCGCGGCCCCACGAACACGCTCCCCCGTTAAATATTCCGTGTGCGTGGTCCGGAGCATATTTCTTGCGCTGATTAATGCACCGGCCCAATATAATTTACGTAATGCGTTCGCTAATAGACCGCGGCTCGCGATTTCGTTAAATACACGGCGCACTCGCAAAATTCGATCACAATTTACCGCGAGGACGTCCACGTCAAACGTCCGCGCATTAATTGACCGATTCACTGCGAAAACCGATGGAAATTCAATTTCCACCGCCCGGAAAGTATTTACCGCTATCTTTTCCTTTTTCTCCTCCCACGTGTTTTTTTTTCCTTTTTTCTTTTCGCGTTTCGAAGGAAAAATAACACGAGAGAGAGAGAGAGAGAGAGAGAGTATAACGACGTCGTTGAGCGTTAACAAGCGTCACGCCTGTTGACCGCGATGGTAAATCGAAATGAAAATCGACGAGCGACGAGTCCATCGAGTGAAAGAGAACTGCAGTAGTGTAAAAAAAAAGAAGAAAAAAAAAAGAAGAAGTTGGACGTAAAAGTTTCACGACACGGCAGAAGTCGTAACACTCGATGAGCTTGTACATCAACGTACGAGTGTACATTTGCTCGACGCTGTGGAGGGGGAGATGGGGGGGGGCGGGGTTGTACGCAAACTTCCGACAGGCAAGGCAAAAGCTCACATTGTGCACAGCTTTACTGTCACCCGAGGCATCTCGGTGCACGGGACAGTTAAGGTGTCAAACAACTTCCGACGAGCTTCGAGTAGTTCGGGGCCTTCTCGCACAGGGTGCTCCCAACTTGCGGTCTCCCGCTTTTCGCGGTTAATAACCTTCCACCCGTTCCGTCTGTCTGACAATCTGTCATAATAAAAATGTAATTTCTGCAACAACTTTCTCTCTTCTTCTTTTTTTTTTTCCTGTTTGCGTGGCCAGCTTTTTTTCGGGGGAAACTCTCGTTGTCTCGAACTTTCGCGTCGCGTCGACGAACTTTGGAACGTTCTGTACGTTGTCGCGCGTTGTCGCGTTTAAGCTTCCGGAAGGAATCGATACTCACCGTACGCGAAACGTCTCGCAAGGAGGACAAGTCGAAAAAACGAATCGCTGAATTTTTCAACGCTCAGATAACCCCCAGTCTTTTTTCTTTCTTTTTCTTTCGAAGAGAATCGAAAATCGAAGATTGAGAATCTCGTCGATGAAACGCTTGGCGGGAAGGGGGCAGGGGGTTGCGATTTGATTAAACCGCGCTGCCGCTTCTCCGCAAAACGCGAGAAAAAATTTGATTCGCGATCGATGCACGGTATGGAAATTTTTCGCGGCCTTGCGCAAAAATTCCTGATAAATTTCGCAGATCTCTCTCTCTCTCTCTCTCTCGATTGTTCTTCGGCCGCGTTGCGTCGATCATTTCTCCGATCGCCGGCCGTTGCTCTTCATTATTAAAAAAGAAAATCGATGAATCGGGGCCGCGTCATGAATGCCGACCTTCTGTCTGCATTTTCCAAACGTTTCGCAGTTAGAGGAAATGGAAAGGAACGGAGGCGGCGGTGGAGCGGCCAAGGGGGAGAAGGGAATGGGAGGGGGGAGGGGGAGTTGTTAGAAGACAGGACGCGGAGGAACGATAAAAATGATCGATAAAGTCGTCGTGTCCTGCGGCCGCCGTGGATCCGGCATTTAGGAATTTATATTAAAATATGTAAATTTATCGGTGCGGACATATTTGAAAACAGATAAATTATGCTGGCCATGTATCGCGTTCCCGTGGTAAAATATATCGATGTCGGCGATGGCGCAGCGTGGAGGGCGCCAGCGGAACACGGAGTTCCTCGCATAACGGCACGTTCTGCCGTCCGGCAGAAATACAATTTATGACGATCATTGTGTAACGATCATAAATTATCTTGTTATTTACGTGAGCGTCCCTTGCTGATTCTCTCGTCCGCGCTGTTTTTCTGCTTCTATCCTGGTCCCCGTCGCATCGGCCCCTCGAAATCAGCCGCGATTTCGCTCGATCGAACGTGAAGGTCGTCGTTGTCAAACGTTACCGAGAACGCTGTATGTGATCGATCATTCAGCTTTAATTCGTTCAAAAAAGTGAGAAAAAGAAAGAAGAAAGAAACGTTTCGTTTTTTCAGTTTCAAGAGAGTAGATTTCGATTTCGTTGAAAAATGTCTTTCTCCGTTGTTTCCAATTTTTCCATTTTTTCCTTTTTTTTTTTTTCTTGTTTTTTGACGTGTTCGTCCGGAAGGAAAACAAACACGGATGTTTAATATTTTTCGCGACGCAACAGCGAGCACTGTCACGGCTTGACAAGGTCCGTCGATGACAAGGGAGAGAGCGTGTTATCGCGTTACGGCGGACTTGCTTCTCTCGCAGAATAAATGGAAAAGTTCACGAGGTTGGTTAGTTTACTAAAACTCAGTAAACGCGGCGCTCTCGACAAGTAAGCCAGATACGCGCGCGAGATTCGTATCATCCGATTTGTGACGGTGGGGGGGAGGAGAGGGGCGGCGTTTTTCAGTATACCTCCGGTGCTTTTTAATTCTTGATAAATGTTAAAAGCTTTTAAGCTTTGCGTTTCTTATTTATCCGGAACCGTCCTCTCCGGCTTCTGCGAAATATCTCCGTGTTTTTGCAGATGTATCAGCTGAATGTTTTAAATTTTACGGAAAGACTGCACGCGATTTTGACGACGTCTTGGAGACGTTTCAGCTTACATCTCTCGCGAACTCCTTCTCGTAAATGGTTCCCCTTCGCCACCTAACGTTTCCCGTTTCCACGCTCAATATTGCATCACTCGCGACGATCGAACGCGACGGTACGCCGGTCGGACAGTCGGCACTTGGGGAGGCTCTTTAACTTAGACGCTAACTAGATTCGTTAATTAATAACTGTGATACGTCCCGTAAACTCCAAATAGTGCGCATTATCAAACTGTAAACCAGAGCTGTCTGGAAACTCTGCACGTTCGCGCTGCACTTTGAACACTTGACTCTCGGAAATGGCCGCCGATGATTTCACCACCGGCAGGATTTCATACGCGGGCTGACGAAATTGTTTGAACGCTTGTAGACAATTTTACGTGCATATGGCGGGGAAAATAACAAAAATTAAACCATGCGGTGTGTAATATGAAATTGATTAATATTTATGTAATTAAGGAAAACTGAATAAGTCCGAATACAGCGATGACAAAGAAGTATTAAGTAGCTATCACTACTGTTTAAAAACGATCTTGTTCTCAAAACCTGTGTCATCATACGCACACGTACACGCAACCGTACGCTCGTATTTTACGTCCTAAGACTAGAGTGACTAGACGAGAATAGTCCCAAATTTGGTTTCTATCTCTGCGACAATCGCATCGGATAACAATGAGACTTCCTCATCCTACAATATATAGAAAATACACGTTTCGCGGAGGTCAGAAAATTTTCCAATTCAATAGAATGCGGACTCTCGTTTCGGGAAAGAACCTAGATTAATATAAATGTAAAGAAAATCGGCAATACAATAAAATTCATACTAAAGGAGAAACATAAAACAAACACAGAGGATCTTCGGATCTTACGGGACCTGCGAAATTCCCGCGAAAAGAATAAGGGTGCTATCCGAAGACTATAAATGACGGTTCGGAAGTAAAGACTATAAATGATGGTTCAGAAGTCAATTGGATTCTACGCGAGCTATCGGACGAGTCGGACGAGTTGCAGCGCTTTCGAATAAACGAATAAACTGTCGAATAAATTGTACATTCGTACACTCCTTAGATAAACGTCGGCCAACACTTACTCTAGAAATTAAATTTCGTTGTAGCTGTTGGCTCGAAGAAATTCCCAAATGTCTCCTCCGTGCACGACCAGCCAGCCACGTCGAGGCGAAGGCACGGCCGGTTTTTCGCGGCAAGTTTGCACCGGTAATTGCGCCCGACTTCAGGAATCGCAACGCCGATTCGCAAAACGAAGTTGGCAAACTGAAATTAATTGCGCGTTCGCTTAAACGCGTTTTCGTTCGGATTTATTGTACGACCGGTTTGGTTTAGGTCCTCCATTATCGGGTGGAGGAGGGGCAGTTGAAGTTAGTCCGGGATTCCGCGAATTCCTCAATTTGCAAGAGCCAGGCCGCCCGTCCCGGGGACAAACATCCCGATTTAAGTTCCTTAAATGCATTCGTAACTGTTTCTGACAGGCAACGCCCGCCCTTTGTCTATGCTAACTGTTGTTTGACCGCGTTTCACCGCCGCGTTCGAACAAGTCCCGAAGCGGATTCCAGGCAACCCTCTCTCCCATTCCTCCCACCACCACGATTGAAACTCTCTGGGTAATTAACGAACGCGAGTTTCGCAAAATTCTTAGAATTATTCCTCCGATGTATTCGTGTACGCAAATGTACAGTTTCAAGGCTGAATAATTACAAAATTGGTTGGCCGGATGAATCACAAAAGTGCGTGTATTTCGATACTCTCGACTCAATTTGCGTAGTCAATTTTTCTTCTTTTTCTTTTGCATGTATATATATATTTTTTATCAAGCTTGCTATGTAACCGATGTTGATATTGGGTGTATTCGTTTAGCGATCGATATTGAGGGGGAGGGGCAGGGGGGAGGGGATGCTGTCGGATCGACCGT